ATGTGATTTGAGACATAATGATGAGGAAGCTCAGCCTCCGGTAGTGCGCAACAGATCAGTGTATTGGTTGTTGCTTGTTAATTTAAGTATACGCTGTGTGATTGATCGAGCTGACCCGAGCAAGCCACTGAATTGTCTCAACCATCCCAAGAGAGAAAGTCCAACATTCATCATGCGTGCCCTGTCCCTGAAGCGTTGAACGCGTCATCTGGAGCCCGCCCGGATCCTATAAAAGGAGCCTTAGTCCCATCACAGCCTGGGTAATATCAGGGTCATCGAGACAAAAAGCTTGCAACTCTATGCCAGATGATCACTGGCTTTCGCAAGCCGTTCTGACCAAAGCTTGTTGAAGCCAGTATATGACTTGCCAGCCCGCGACCTGTTCAGCTCGAGCGATGTGTTATACTATTAGGCAGGCTGAAGGCCCGTCTGAGCAGAATATTCCAGGCAGATGGAGCATGCAAAATCCAGGTCGTTGCACTGACAGCATTGGGGCGCCTGCTTTGAACGCCCGAGGAAGAGACAAACCCTACAAGCTGCCTCGTCTGATGTGTCACAGTCATAATTCGATTGTATGGCGACTTCATCCACCGCGCCCTCTACCGCGCCCTCTACCGCGCCCTCCTCGGCCGCGGCCGCCGCCCCTTCCGCCTCGCCCACCTCTTCCACCAGCACCACGCCCTCCCTTCTTGCCACCCTTTCCTTGAGCCCGATCAAATGTCTCGTAGAGCCTCTCCTCTCCGAATGCCATCTCCGTGAAACGTAGATAACTTGTAAAGCCGCTGTCAACCACGGCCACGATGGCGTTCCTCCAGCCGTGCTTGAGCCTCTTTTGCATGAAGCCGACACCTTGCCCTGCAGCCATCTGCTCATCTGGGGGGTTCCAAGGTGTGGACTCCAGCAGTGCTGAAAGTTCGGAAATGGTCGGGACCGATGTCGTCCGCGCGTTCACGACTGATATCCGGAAGTCCGGCGGTGGTGGGTTAGACTTGCTGAAATTAGGCCGCGATTTGAACACGTGGAAGAAGATGTCAAAAGGCGGCTGAGCGGGATTCGAAGCGTCGACGTGTGGTGTCGGCTTGTGTCGCTGGATAAGGTGAAGTTGCTGGAAGACAGGCTTGTACGAACGGTACAGGCCCGGCCGGAGCAATGGGCCCTCGACCGGGTACGATGCGGGCGGAATTGTTGGATCGCTTTGCAGCAGAGAGAAAAGCCAGCTCCATATCGACTTTGGCTGTGTCCCTTGACCGGCGGCATCTGTATCTGCTGTTGCGAACGCTGCGCGCAACACCAAATATCCACACCGTCGCAAGTTGGCGTAGACCTGGTATTTTTCGAGCGTGATCTTCCCCCTCTCGCCATCCCTTCCAATGAAAAGTGCATATGCCGCTTGGAAACTTATAGGAATGCCCATTTCATCGCGGGAAGCCTTCATGTCGTCTTCGGATCCCTCCGTCTTCATGGGAAAGACATCCTCGATCTCGCGCTCCGGCCACCAGAGGTGCAGATCACCGCGCTCGACCAGGTACAAAGCCTCCTCGGGCAGTAACCACGTGCGATCCCACGCCGGTGCGAAATTGGCACCGCGGCCCCTCATGGCTCGTCCCATGGCCTTGAACATGGCGCCCTTGGCCTCCTCCACGACGACGACCCTGTCGCTCCACCCTACTTCCGCCTCCTCACTGAAGTGGTCTGGGAAGTACCAGCCTCTGACATAACTCGGAGGCGGATGCGTCCGTGTATAGCTCAGCGTGTCGTGCATGGCACTGCGGCTGGCCTCGAGGTAGCCCTCCTGCAGGCGCGTGCCGTGCGACTCAAAGTCCTTCTCGCCCTTTCGTATCGACTTGCCGGACACCTGTGTCTTCTGTAGCGCTGATGCGAACTTGCGAAAATCCTGCACTTCCTCGTCTGCCAGGTCGTCTTCGGCCGTCGGCGGTGCCTCGTCGCCTCCCGCAGTCGAGCCCGCGGCGTCGCTGGTGACTGTGGGCAGGGCCGCAGCCGTAGGATCCTCGTCGTCGAATGCCATTGTTCGTTGGGGTGCCCTCGAGGCGCATGCGACGGACAAGAATCAGGGCTGGAGGCGTTCGCGCGTCGTATCGAACCTGCGGGGGACTCGTTTTCGGGGTTTGTCTGGTTCAGCTCGAGTGTTGTGTAGATACAAACTGGACTGTCAAGATGGCGTAGCGAAACTTTTAAGTGGAGACCTTCGCCTCAACCCGCATACCGGAGCTCAGCTGCTAGGTTGAGCTACAGTGCAACTATGCCCCATCTGTGAATGCCCTCTTGACATCCAAAACTATTTGCTTGATTCATGACTGATCAGTGTTGTTAAAACTGATCAAGGTGGACGTTTGTTTTGGTAATGGAAACAAGACAAAATTTATAAGAAACATGTCACAGCCGGAGTGCTATCTGAGATTTGTCACCGGGCATATCTTACGTTGTCTATAAGCACATTCAAGTATACAAATATTTGTAAACTATCTTAAAAGCTAATCGGTTTCTCTTGCCTTGAAATTTTTTGTAGAATCCGTTTTTTTTTTTTATCCGGTCTGGTTGTATTATGATCGCTCTGGTATTCTTTTACCTTGTCGTTGGAGGAAAAAAGAAAAAGAGGAAAAGAAGAAAAGAGGAAAAGAGGAAAAGAGGAAAAGAGGAAAAGAGGAAAAGAGGAAAAGAGGAAAAGAGGAAAAGAGGAAAAGAGGAAAAGAGGAAAAGAGGAAAAGAGGAAAAGAGGAAAAGAGGAAAAGAGGAAAAGAGAAGAAAAAAACGAGTTTGACCGCGTTCGATGGGGCGACCTTTGCACCTCAACATTTCGTTGCTGTGTTCAGGAAGCGTCAACGGGTTCGCTGTGAACCACTGAGCCAGAAGACCAGTGGTTCGGTGGGAGTTTCTGGCTGTATTGTAACCCATCCGGCTTCGAATCTTAGAACGACTTGATCGGGTAGCCAGCCTTTAGCCTTGCTTGCAAACGGGCATCGATGGTGGGCGACGGAGAAGAACATTGTGGGTGGTGGTGGTGGTGGACGTCCTGGGACCGGCCAACGTCTAGGTTGGGGACAAGTGGTAGAGCGACGATGGCAATGCAACAGCGTGTAGCTCCATGTGCATATACAACATGCTTCATGGTCCTACAAGGCCAGTATTTGTCAAGCAGTATGTTTGCTGGGGCAGGAAGGCGAACAGTTGCTGAATCCCGCGCCGCTTATACATATTCCTTAAACACATCACTCAACGCGGAAATCATGTCGACTTAACGAACTGTGATGATGAAGCTGGGACCTGGTGTATTTCTTCTTCTAGATCCTGATTACATCGACTGTATCAAGCAAGTGGCCGGATTTCGTGCTTCACAACAGCATTGAGAAGTATTCAAAAAATAACTAACATGATTCGGACGGCCCATAAGAATAACCTCATACCCAGTACACTCGCTGACAAGTATTCCGCACCGCCATCGAAGTCCTTAGCCATATGGACGAGTCAATTATCGAGGAGCTCTTGTAAGAGAAACATGCAAAGTCGTCTTTCGCAATGGTATGGACCCGAGACTGGAGTAGAAACTAACGAGGCGGATGGAGTGGGTGCCGACGCTTTAATTCACAAACACACCAGGGAAAAAAAGACTGGCGCTCAGTCATCTTTGACACGGAGACCCCCAGGGCTCCGAGATCAACTGCGGAGCAAACAAAAAGAAACTGCTGGTAGCAGCCCATACAATATGACATTGAAGAGCGGAGCTCAGAGAGCTGAGAGACGTCAAACAGTCACTTCACTAACAATTCGTCACTGCATGGCGAGCACGCAGCTTCTCCTCTGTATGCATTCTCCAAGGACAAAGACCAGGTCCATCACGGGGCTCGTGGTGGCCTACCCAATCAGGGGCCATGGATAGCTCCTAGATACCTCGACGTTCTTGCCGTCCTTGAAAGGATCGTGATGTATTCTTCTTCTTTATACTTGCAGACCACCTACTTCGAATCCTTTATGTGGTAGCATCACGAAGTTCCATCTGCAGTAAACCAATTTCTACGAAACCAACCATCAGAAGCCATCACTCATGATAACTTCATCGTCGCCGGGATTCCGGAAGAAGGATGTACCGACTTTCTTCAGACCTGAGTTCTATACAATCCTCTCACAGGAGCACATCTTCTTCTTGAATATATAATCAGGATATAAAGCAGCCCCAGTCCATCCCGTTTCATGCAAGGCAGGAAATGGTACTTTTTCTGGCTGCCAAACGAGTTTCTCACTAACGCGCAGCAAGAAGGCGACATCGACAGTGCTCAGGGGATCCTGAGCACTGCCAATGCTCGATCAGCGACCCCATTGGTGCATGCAGAGTTTTTGCTTCCAGCTATCACAGAGAAGATGCCACTACTACATAGAGTTGCTTGGTGCTGTACATACCATAGATTATGATCACGAGAACACGCTGCAGATAGAGTTATTGGTGTCGCGAGTCAAAGTTGAAGAAATAGTCATTCATGACGTGGGTTCGAATCCCACTCTCATCAGAAAATCCCGATCTCACGATCGGAATTGGTGTTTGGTTCCGAAACGCAGGCTGTCCATGTTTCGCAGTGTGTTGAAACAATTGTCGAGTCTGATACAGGTACGTACTGCTGGTGCTCTCTGTTTGACAGGGGCCAGGGGCGCTAGAGCGAAAGTGGGGCGACCCAGGCGGGCGGCGCACGCTAGCGGGGTGCCGCACGCTTGGGTGCTGAGGCCTTGGGATAAGAGTGGCCGCAGCGGTCATCGAAGACATCGCGAGGTTCAATTCAACGACAAAACGTGAAGCAATACCGCAATCACAAAGATATTGGTATTGCCAGATAGCTATTCGAGCGATCTGTGTGCCGGAGTGATGCGCTAGGGGGTACTAGCGCCGGGTGCTGCGGGACAGGCCGATCCGCCCGGGTTCGACCGTTTGTCGACCAAAAAAAAATCGTCAAAAACATCAAAACACCAATTCCGATCGTGAGATCGGGATTTTCTGATGAGAGTGGGATTCGAACCCACGCCACGAATGACTGCGGTACAAAGTTGTCCCGGGTGAACCGGAACAGACCTAAACACAGCGCCTTAGACCACTCGGCCATCTCACCGTTTGTTATTGAAAGATACTGTCTTATCTCAAACTAAGAGGGGTCAGCAGCTTGGCCCCTGGTGCGGCGGGGCCGTGTCAGCTCCTGGCTGGGGACCGGGAGGGCCCAGGGAGGATAAGCTGGTCTGGCACTTGGGTCGGACGCAGGTCTGTATAATTACCGGAATTCGCATGTCGAAGCGTTTGTCCTCCGGTATTGTGATTCACAAGTCTTCAGGAATTGAGGGCCGAGCTCTGAGTATACTATTCAAGAACTGACTCGCTGTCTCAGTGGCAGGGGAATAGACATGCACTACCAAGGCGGGGCAAGCCTGGACAATGCCTATCTTCTTTACTAGAATTGCGACACAACCCCACCTCTTTGGCTATTGGAAGTGTACAAATATGATCATCTTGCTTCGCAGTGGCAAAATGATCGTCGGAGTATAGTTGATGACTACGAGACAAAGCAAAGGCGTCAGAAGAATTACCCTATGAATGAATGCTTGCGAAACAGTAGAAATTGCAGTGCAGAGTATGTAATAGTTTCTGCGCGCGTATTCGAACGCTATAAGTGTTGCCAATTTCGACCGGAAGTTGCTATTTTGAACGAACCGAGAAAAATCTCAATTATCATCCGAAAGCGAGGAAAGAGATAGTTCAAGGATCGTTTGGTGTTTTGAGCACATACCTGTAAAAATATTATGTGCAGTTAGTGATCATTTTAGTACTACTGCTGCTGCTTGTATTCAGGTGTCATCTCTGTTTTGTTGCTTGGGCAAATACAATTCGTTCCAACTCTTTGGCTTGTGCCCAGAGAACTCAATACTCGACGTTGCACTGCATGTATGCGCAATTGCTTCAGAGGCCTCTCGACTTGTCATTGTCAAGAACAGGCAATATTGAATGATGACCCTTCTGGAAACGAGTATGCGAGGCTCTCAATTCCTATGAGCTACCATGATGAACAAGCTTACTGAAGTATGGGTGAGCACTCTTTCAAGATGAGGCATAGCGCTTCGTCTGGCCATTCCCTGGCGAAAAGATATTCCCGGCCACCAGAAGAAAAATTCCCTCCTCAGGTTCCGCCAGAAATCGGAACGTTGTCATGACCAGAGCGCAGAAGGTCGATATATCAGTCTTGGCCGAACAACATGCCACGACTCACACACATGTGAAAGAAGGAAATGTGTTTCTCATAGTTGTCATTCGACATTGTCCGCCTACACGTAGCAAGCACGCTTGTGGTGATACTGCGAAATATAAAAATATATACATGGCGCATTGTGCGCAAATTTATCCTCATTGCAACCGCTAGAGGGGGAACTCCATATGGCAGCCGAGCCATTGTCTACAAGATTTCGAGACTTTCCAGGAGTGCCTCTGCCCCTAGAAACCAAATCAAGTTCACATTCAACTCCTTCAAACACAGTCGCCTCATAACAAGCCTAGACTGCAAACAGATACTGGCGCATGGGTGTGAGTGAGTCCTGATCCGTGGCTGTTGAATCGTAGACACTCGTTCGCAACGCCGCCAATCGTGATAGTTGACCAATGCATTGTCCCGGAAAGAAGAAAAACGCCTGGTCTATAGGCATCTCAGATCGTTTCGTCATGTTCATACAACTCGAAAGACTAGCAAGCTCGCGGAGCTCACTTGTCCACTGGAATTATCATTATTGCCCTTGTTGTGGGCACAATCCCTCGTTCAACTTCCAGACGGTAACGAAGTCTCGCATCGGTGGTATCGACAACACTCGAGTTTCCAAAATCAGAGCGATTGGCGCTTCGTTATCCTCGGTACGTGAGCTCAAGAGTGTAAGTGTGCGCCGAATTGCTCCCATGCCAGTGTGGCGGTTGCTCCAGCGCATATGAAAGGTGACTTGTCGGGTGACCTTGAATAGCTTCTTTGCATCAACACTTGAGGTGAGCCATAGGCTCGACGTGGTAGTCCTTAGGATGCCCTCGCTTCGACTCATGTTGTTCCTATAGGAGCCTTTGAGATCATTATTCGATCAGTGGCTTTTTCTGCCCACCGACCATGCACAAGCCAAGAGTTCTGAGCGCATTGTAGTCGGTTGCCAAAACGATGTTCCTGGCAGGCAGCATGGGGTTGTGCGGGTCTACCGAGGAGGCATCCTTGGCAGCTTGTTCGATGGCGTCCATCTCTTCTTTACATGCCTGATGATCCATGGGACATATGACAATAGGTTGACGCAAGGTGATGTCCTTGGCTGAAGTCATGGAGGCCTACCAATAGTGAGCAACATACCATCTCATTCATGTTGGGGCGAAAACATACCTTGATGTTCAGGAAGAACTCAATCTTGTAGAGGGTTGATGTTGTAGTGAAAGAGGAGACTTCGTAATTTGGAAACGCGGGCTGTCCCCTTCGGACGATACCTTGTGAATCTCTCAAGTCTCTGTGTGGAAATATGACGCCCATGTTGGTGACGTAACCGGCCTCTGGGAGCTTTGTTCCAACCTGTTGAACATGCTTATGCAACCTATTGATTTCCTTGGTCGGCTCGTCGCCTTCGGGGTTGTACGTGATCTCCTCTTCAATAGTCAAGGTAATCTTTTGTATCGTGACCTTTCTCGCCTTTGACATCCAGTCGAGGTTGGGCGCGATCTTGATGTACACCGTTATGGGATCCATGGGCCCATAGCTCCACCTCGGTAATGATATGCCCAATGTGACAATGTTATCGGCAGTGGCGATTTTCGTCTCGGGCCGGTTGTACATTCCAAAGGTTGACAACGTGTCGTATCTCTGGAGCGGTATGGGAAAGGCGTACTTGTTCTGCTGGCTGGCTCCTTGCTGAACTGTCACCACTAGTTCATAGAATGTCTCAGCTGTTCTGCTCGCAAGCTGTAACGAAGCCGGCGGTATCCTCCTGTTGGTTTCTTCGCCTCCTCGACCGAACGGAATAAATAATACGAATGGCAAGTCCATGGCAATCACACTTTCGGCTTCCCTTCCGGATGCGCACCGAAACAGCAACAATTCTTTACCCACGACATCTGTCGTGTCTCTTCTCGGAGTGCCTAGATGCTTCTTGGCTAGATTTCTGGCGGCCGGATGTATCGTTTCTCTCCGCTGAAGACATATGCGCACGAGGGACACCGCGACTGGTGCAGAGTAGCCTTGCGATGGCCGAATCTCGACTTTTCCTTCTATCCTCGGCTGTGCACACACGATCAAAATCAGTTTCTCTGTATCGCAATAACGCATGGCCCAGGGGACCGATAAGGGAATGGTTTTGGCCTTCAGCACCCCCACATGCGCCGCAAGGCCCCATCTGATAAAGTTGACGGCCGAGGGCGAAGGAGGGGAAGAGTCCGTCCTGGTGATGAACGAGCTACGACATTTTGCTGCCTCCAGCCAACCCAAGCCCGACAGTTCGACTTACCAAAGTTGCCGAAATGCCTGGATAGCCAACTAGGAAGTTGCTATTCGGCGGCCCGGAAACCCGCACGGAGGCAGGGATCCTATCTGTCATTGTTTGTGTTCTCGGCGGAGGACCGAGAGTCTAGGACTATTGAGGGGTGAGCGGCTGCAACGGACGAGCCCTATTCTGAACCCGATGCTGCAGCATGTATTCGATTTCGGGGGCAGCCGGGGGCCGTCGGCGCCGGGAGAGAGGAGATCGCCAAGAGTGTCGTCGTGGTCGAGGATGCGCAGCTCGTAGAAACAATCATTACATGCCAGGACGGGCACCCGCTGGTGAGAAGAGGGTGCGCTGCTCCCAAAGCAGGCCTCTCGGGCTGTCTACCGTGGACGCCGCTGCCGTGGCCGATAAATAGTTGTCGCAGACAAAAATGCCTGGGTTGATCAGCGATTGATTGGGGCGTCAGATGTCGTGGGCTCTCGGTGGCTCGTTTTGCGCAGTGGTTGGGCTGCCGGTATGGTGACTGCCTCGCTGGGCGACAACTCGATGCTGCCGCTGAATGATTTTCCTTCTTTGTTTCTTTCGCGCACACGCAGTTGGGCTGGAGGCTCTGTTCGTTTTGTTTGGGGGAGCTCGGGGACTTGATGGGGCCCAGACAAGGTAAGGCAAGACCAGGCAAGGTTCCAAGGTAAGGATATGTGGTAGGTGTCGCTTTAGCGATGGGGTAAAGCGGAGTTTGGTTGTTGTAGGTAGACCGCAGGTAGGTCGGTCGGTCGCTAAAAAGGACCAGACCAGACACATGCAGTACGTATTGAATGTACTGTGTAGTAGGTAAAAAATGCCAACAAGCTCGACGCGGCCGACGGACGACAGCGAAAGTAATTAACAACGATAATGAAACAGACAAACAGTGCAGCGGATCGCGGGCTACCGAAAGCAACTAGGACGGCGCGCCCTCCGCTACCCTAAAAGTCGACGGTCTCCTGCGAGGCAGGCGTGCACACAAACATTCGTCAGACAGGCAGTCGACCAGTGGTTTCTCTGCTTGCTTGCTGGCTGGTTGGCTTGCTTGCTCCTCCGGGTCCTCCTCTTCTTGACTACCTTGAACTGGCTGATGGAGGGCCGGAACCGCGTAATTCTTACAGCTGTGAAGTGCAGTCGACTGCAGGGATCAACTAACGCAACACGGCTGGGATCATCACCATCCGGCTTGCAAGAGTGGGAGCAGCGGGCAAGGTGAAGGTAATAAAGGTAGGCTGAGCCTCTCTGCGGCGACCACCGCGACCTGTTTCTTGGGACCCAATTGCGCGGCTGGCGCTGGCAGTTGAGGGCGCCGGCGTCGGTGGTATCGGTGCTAGGAGGTAATGTACGATGTGCTGTGCTGATCCGATGCAAGCTCACTGCAGTTTTGTTCTGTTTCTTGCCCGGGGCCACTAGTAGTACAACGCTCGATGTTTCCTCTCCTCGATGCTCATCAGACGACGTTTCATTGACAGGTACTGCTAAAAAAGAGAATGGGAACCCGAGGACGGGAGAGGATGAAAACTTTTTCTTCATCCCATTCCAAATTCCAACAAAAGAACGCATGATTGGCTTTGTGTTGAACACCTTGTATACGAATACCTGCCCA